CAATTAAGGTTATCGTTTCATTATTATTAGCATAGTTAATTATATGTTAACAAATGAACATTTAATAACAATCTAAAACAATCTACAAAATACAAACATTCCTACTTATTAATCACCAAAAATATCCATTAACATTTCCTTGTTATTATTGTGGTTAACAAAAAAATTATTTACTATTTATATCACCTCTTCTCTCACCAGACCCAAAAGAAGTTTTACCTTTATAGCAAGCTCTAAACAAGAATTTATTAATAAAATTTATAGGTCTTTTCCCCAAGTCCCAATTTACAATTTATATCCCAGTTATTTTTACCAATTAAGGTTATCGTTTCATTATTATTAGCATAGTTAATTATATGTTAACAAATGAACATTTAATAACAATCTAAAACAATCTACAAAATACTAACATTCCTACTTATTAATCACCAAAAATATCCATTAACATTTCCTTGTTATTATTGTGGTTAACAAAAAAATTATTTACTATTTATATCACCTCTCCTTTCTTCAGACCCAAAGTAATTATACCTTTGTAACAAGATCTAAACTAAAGTTTATTAATAAAATGTATAGGTCTTTTCGCCAAGTCCCAATTTACAATTTATAACCATTATCATTTCATTATTGTTGTCATAATTAATTATACGTTAACAACCGGACCATCCAGTGGCAAAAGTGTCAACGGCGGTCTCAGACTCTCGAGACCGCACGATGTGTTGTTGTGATGTTGGCTCCTCCTCTGACTTAGACCCATTTCTTTAATGACTCTTCAAAGTTACAACGGCACTGGAGAAAAGGGATTTACAACCATTTTTCATACTTATGACCTTTGCAGGATCCCAGTTCAAAATTCGGACACTTGGCAACTGACTCATATTTATGATGGTTGTAGTGTTTCTGGGTCATCTGATCACCTTTTGCAACCTTATGACAAGGACAGTCAATGGGGAAGCCACATTCATTTAATGACTATGTTACTACAGTGATTCACTTAATAACTGTGGTCAGAAAAGTTCTAAATGGGGCAAAACTCACTTAACAACTGCCTTGCTTAGCAACAGAAATTTTGGGCTCAATTGTTGCCCTTAGTCAAGGACTACAGGTCATTCTCAACTTACAACTATTCCTTTAGTGACCGTTCAAAGTTACAACGGTACTGAAAAAAGTGACTTGTGACTATTTTTCACACTTACGACAATTTTAGCAGCCCCATGATCATGTGATCAAAACTCAGATGCTTAGCAACTGATTCATACTTATGATGATTGCATTGCTCTGGGGGTCATGTGATCACTTTTTGCAACCTTCTGGCAAGCAAAGTCAATGGGGAAGCCAGGTTCACTTAGTAACCATATTACTAATTTAGCAACTACAATGATTCACTTAACAACTGAGACAAGGAAGGTCACAAAAGAGGGCAAAACACACTTAATGTCTTTTAAACCTGTTAAAACACTGAATAAATGTCTCACTTCGCAACAGAAATGTTAGGCTCAATTATGGTCATAAATTGAGGCTTACCCGTATCTGTAATCTCACCTCTAAATTACTGAAGAGCTAGAATTCAAAGTTGAGGGATTGACTGTCTGAAGGCTTAATTCCCATGTTATAAACATGTTCAGTCATGTAGATCTGTAGCGAGACATTTGTCTGTCAGGGGTATCAAACTCAAATTCATTGAGGGCCACATCAAGGTCGGGTTTGATCTTGGGGGAAGGGTGGGCATGGCCAGCTCAAATTCACTTGTGTCGGGTGTGCCTGTGGTGGACCGAGCACTCTGCCAGTGAAAACGGGCTCCCGAGCTCTGTTTTCAGCTGCAACGGCCTCTTGCCACCCTCTGCCAGTGAAAACGGAGCTTGGGAGGGCTGCCTCCCAAGCTCCATTTTCACTGGCAGAGGGTGGCAAGAGGCCGTTGCAGCTGAAAACAGAGCTCGGGAGCCCGTTTTCACTGGCAGAGTGCTCGGTCCACCACAGGCACACCCGACACAAGTGAATTTGAGCTGGCCATGCCCACCCTTCCCCCGAGATCAAACCCGACCTTGATGTGGTCCTCAATGAATTTGAGTTTGGCACCCCTGACAGACAAATGTCTCGCTACAGATCTATATGACTGAACATGTTTATAACATGGGAATT